TTTCTAGAACTATACGCACTATACGTATCACTATACGTATAGTATTATACGTATAGTACTGATCTGCCCATCTCTAGGTATAAATGCAATTATCAACATGTCAATGTAATATATCTATTTTGTAATGACAAATTGTAATAACAAATTGTCATATATCTGAATAAATTATATCTACTGTTAAATGTATTAAAGGCGTGTCTTATTTTTGTTTCAAATGATTGACGGACATATTTTGCTATCCATTACTATACGATGTACTGTGTATTAGTGATTGGTGGGACACATTTGTAACATTTTATAGTAAAAATCATCCAGCTCACCTTACCTTCCTATTGTAACATTGTGAAAGCAAATATTTTTTTTTTGATAAAGATACAATGTGTAACGAAAAAAATTGACCTCCGATGATGCAAAATTCAAAAGCATATATTTTCACGAATAAGCAATTAAATCCCATCCAATTAAATCAAACAATCATACTAAATCCCTGTGTTATAAAAACAAACCTTTTGAACCATCAATCTTAGTTTTGTCAACATAAAAAAATGTCATCAAACAAGCTCGACTTGCAACGTTCAACGCTTCTTTATTATTGGAACCAAGGAATACATTCCCCAAAGGAACTTCACACAAAAACTAACATTCCCCTATCAACAGCCAATATAATAAAAGAAACCGGGGATGCGGGTCTGATTCATTTCGTCGACAGTCATTTCGTCGAATGTTCATTTCATCGAAAATTATTTCGTCCCCAAAAAAAAAATTTCATTAAACAAATTTCTCCTCATATTTCCCACACACTCCGCTTTCCTCACTTAATTTCTTAACTAACTTCCCACACTCCTCACATCTAACTCTTTTGGTCTCTGGCTCGAGGATGAATAATTTTCGACGAAATGAACATTCAACGAAACGAAAATTCGACGAAATGAACTTTCGATGAAACAAACTTTCGACGAAATGGGTGTCGACGAAATAATTTTCGACGAAGTAAACGCGACCGGAGTTTTATGTTGAAATTTTGCGCCAGCACCTTCCAGAAATCAGAAGGATGCTTGGTAGGCGGTGGAGATTCCAACAAGACAATGACCCGAAGCACACTACAGTCTAACCTTGCCACAGCGGATTTCGTCACAGCGGATTTCTTGTCACAACGGATTTAAGTATTGGCCCCTTTTTTTATTAATTAAAAAATATTTGTCACAACGGATTTTATTAATAAACTTGCGTCACAGTGTTAACGGATTTTTGATGGTGATCTCTCTATATGTCTACTAATCTCACC